GTAGGTGAAATTATTAACAGTGCTGCTGAGCTATTCACGCTGTGTGCTACTGGCGGTAAATTAAATTAAGCACAATTAGTGCCACCAGCTCTCCCACAGATTATAATGATCTGTAATCATGTAAATAGTCCAGCCTGCTAGCATCTTACACTGAAAAACATTCCCCTTCTCCGGTGGTCCAGATTGCACGCACCGTGAGCTGCATAATATCTTAGTACCAGAGATTTAGATTTAACATCACAACACTCTTGAACAACGCCTATTAACAAAATTGACCAACATGTAGGCTTTCGCGACCAATATTAACCATAATGGAGGGGTTTTTTGGATAAGATTGCGTAAATGTACTGACAAAATTGACGTTTCCCCGATTCATGCCCCGTTGCCGGCTTGCATAATGCTCCGTGATACTCTATTCGGACATGCCATTCGAGCAGTGTGCCACATGTATCAGAGAATGGCTTTGGAATATATTTGGACATCTGAGAAATCCTTCTATGTAGCCTTTTTTTATTTTTTACACGGTCAGGTCATACTTTCCCCGTGTCCTCGTCGTCTGTGAGATTATTTTTCGCACAACAATGAAAGACCGATGTTTTTCATTCAAACAAGCTGGAATTTTGCCAAATTATCAGAATCAAAATCTGTATTTATACTGGGGGAATCTTATGAGCTATGAATCTCTTTTGTACAGATGTCCAAGAGGGGCAGGTCAGCGAGTTACATCAACCAAAAATGCAATACATTATACAGCAGTAAGATAGAGAAACGTTAAGCAAGTCAATATAAAAAAATAACATATTTAGATATATAATGGAAGTACAAATTGCAGTAGTGCATACCACTTTTGGAGATCTGTCAACATCAAATGGAAGCTTGGGTAAGGCAGCAAAACAGCAATAGCAAACATGAATATGAAATTACGTGTTTTTGTGATTTCGTTGGCACTATCAACTTACAGCACTTGGGAACCCAGCTAAAGTGGCTGAAATCCAGATTTGAACCCAGCATCTCTGAGTCCACTCGACACGTTTCGGCAATACAGTAATTGCTTAATTCAAGGCAAAAGGAAATCCATTGTTCCAACGGCAGTAAGTATACTGACATAAAGTAATGCTGCCTTTTTAAAATTCCTATCATTTAGCGTAAGAATAACACAAATAAAAGTTTTATATTCAGTATTTTTTTTACTGGATTTACTTGCATTCTTTCTGTTGAATTTAGTTTTGTGATACCCAGCTGGGTTTTTTTAAACTGCTCCTCATACCAGGTGTAGGTAATTAAGGTAATGGAGTTTTTTTGAATAGCAATGGTTTCCCAATTACTATGTTTTCATGTGCAGAGTAATCCTTCATATAAAAACAAAACTAGCGGAAAATCACTCCACAGAGCATATACATTCATCTCAAAAGGGCTCTAAATTTAATTGCTCTGTTGTGAATAAGTGATCATGGATACTTTTGTAATTCTAAATGTTGTTGCAGTATATTATTGCCAGATTGCCTTCCATGAAAGCATTTATAATTTTTTTTTATTTTGCCTCTGTGACTTGGCCATTCATTGCATTGTTACGTAAAATAGTTGTGTTTTGAATTTTAATTGTGAATGTACATTTTGATGTGAAAAGTATTGTCTTTCTTGAAAAGTTTTAATTCGTTACTTTAATGGTATTGTGTATTGTGTGTTCAATAATAGTTCCAACTTGTAACGGACGTAGTATTTGCTTGCTTTCGAGTAGAAAGAATGACTCAGAGACGCGAGGAACCACAGACACGCGGGAAAGGCAGCGGGGCTAGTGAGCCGGCGGTAGCCATGAGTGGGAATTGAACGCAGATCTTTTGATTTAAAGCTTTTTAAATCCTTGCAGTCACGAAAGCTTTAAATCAAAATTTAACCGCCTCTACGGGGAGGGATTCCACACAACCTTAAGATCATTCAACAGACTCCGGGATAAGAAGGCTCAACTAATCGAGTCTCTCACCTTTCTGAAGAGATGCCGCGACTCTAAGCTTAAAGGTGGCGATCTGAGCGTGGCTTTTTCGCTCCAGCGCTGTCCTCCAGACAGTCTCGTCCCTTCACCTGATGAAGGCCGCTTGTGTTGTGGCCGAAACGTCGTGAGAATTTTATCGTGTTATTTTATTTTATCAATTTATTATTTTATTCTCATTCTACGTGACTTTACCGAAAGAACCAAAGAAGAATGAACGCAGATCGTTGGGTTCGTAGCCACGGTGAGCGTACTGCACCGCCACCACTCCCGTTATGCGCGCCACAATCAACAATGACACGAGCACCATCATTAACGTGGATAGAAAGTCAACTTGTAGCAACGGTTTCCGAAGCTTATTAGGTTCATTTTTTTTTATTCACAAACTTAGCAGACAAAAACAATAACATTTTTGTTGCATTGTTGTCATGTTTTTTTTCTCTCTCTCTCAAACTAAAGCTACAGCGATTTCAGACGGGGTAAAAAAAAAGGGATTGTAAATATAATTGGAAGGCGAAATGGTGGCCTTATCATTCTGCCTCTACCAAAATGGGCTCGTTACACTCGGCCATCTGGCCGCTCACGTCGCTTGCGAGTCACCCTGAGAAAGCACAAATCCGTTGTCCCAGCTGCGATGTAATGGGCAGGTACACAACGCTGGAGTCACCTTGCCCCATGCGTGATTAGGCCGTTAATTACCGCTTTCAATAACTGCGCGACCTTATTGGCGGTTCTCCGCTTCAGTCGCCCATCTGCTCACGATGACACCGCGTTTCAAATTTACCGTGATATTTGCGCTTTTGGGAACTCTGTTCTCAAATGCATTTTTTTTTAAAACTCAATTACGAGAGAAAAAAGTTTTAAGTTAGTTGTTATTATTTTTTTAAAAAAAGATTGCACCGAGTCGTACGCGTCGCTGTTGAAAAAAAGAAAGCGTGGGGATCTTTTTGGAGTCCTTTAAGGTTGCAATGCCTGGAACCAAAGCACCCACAAAATACCTGAACTCAGATGCTAAGCAATGTTGAACCTGGATAAGTCCTTGGATGGGTGCCCATCATACACAATGGATTGTTATAGGCCGTGGGGCTACGTGGTGGTCAGCCCAGGGTGGTGCAGAAAAATACATTGTTGTAATCTACTTTCTGTACTCCCATGTCTATGCTTCCACCCAGCCTTTTGCAACCAGGAATGACCAGCATGGTAAAGTAACCTAAAAACAACCCCCACAACCATATTTGGAGTTTGTGTATTCTCCCCGTGGTTGCATGGATTTTTCTCCAGGTCCTCCGGTTTTTCAATCCGCATTTAGAAAAGAACATGCGTTTAGAGTATTTGGCTGAGATAAATGTCCACATGACGATAAGCTACTTCGTTGGACTATCACTTGTGGCCAGGTCACTTCTGAAATACAGCTAAATAACTCAGTGAGCCTTCACTGGTATAATACAAAGTTGAGTTGTTAGTTTGGTTTCTACAAACCCGCTACTGACCAGCACGAAGTATGGCCAAATGACCCCCGAGATCCACACGGCGTGGGGAGGCCCTCATCCAGCAGCAGATTGACTAAAATGGCTGCTGATGAACATTTTAATGTTGTGCAAGTCAAAATAGCTAAACAAGTGGTATTCATATTGAAATGTACAGTTTCAGATTTATTGATTATGAATTTCCATTGGATACATGCAAATAAATCGTGTGACCTTATGTTTAACATCGACCTCGGTTGTTCCATGTATTTCCAATAGAATGGGAACCGCACGGGTCTGGAAATTAAAAAGCAAATGTTATGTTGTGCAATTGAAATGTCCAGGGATTACATTTTTGGTCGGAATAATGTGTTGTCATAACCAGTATTCTGTATGCATTCACGGTATCGATGTGTTTTATTTTTCTATTCTGGGCTGGAAATGTTTACACGCAGTGCACATGGCTTACCAAGTCGTGTGCCAGGAAGAGGGCACTGCGGCTTTGTGTTTTTGTTAGGCAACTCAAAGAGGACACGGTGTCCTATAAAGTGTACACATTAATGGCCAAAAAAACCCCTGGGTTGCATCAATGCGCTAATGTTCAGTGGCAAGGCAGCAGGGTTCCTTGAATAAAATGTCAAATGTACCTCGTACTTAGTAGCGAGCGAGCTGACAAAGCTCGCTCGCTGGAATCAAACCCCAAGGCCGTTGATCAGAATGCTAATTGCGTAATTTCCAAAGAGCTGTCACGATGCGAAGTTAAAAGTTAAACCCCCTGGTCGTTGCCATTCCTCACAGTCATGCGATGTCACAATCTCTGTCGCCCTTGCACACGAACCGCACGTGGACCGATCTCAAGGCTCCATCTCCACAGTGGCCGATTCCACTTGGAAGCCTCTTTGTCGTTTGCCTTCCATTCCATCACCAGTCTTGCTCACCAGCAATCATCTTGCTTGGTCTCAAGTCAATATGATGCGAGCATATTGTTCTTTCATATGCATGTCCCTCTTTGCCGCCCCTCAGTGTAATTCCCAGCGTGCATCTCTCCATGCTACTCTGCGTACTTTGTAGCTTTTGTTAATTTTTTTGTTATTTTTCATTATCAATTTTATTTTTTTCTTTCAATGCCAAATGTTTTTTTCATCATACAACAGCGCTCCATCTCGTTCTCGCTCGCCTCTTTATGTCATAATTTTGACCTTGCTCTGCCTTCAACAATTGTACACATTGTTATATTGCATTCCAGTTGTGTCCCTCCAAGGGTAACTTCCTTTTGTTCGGTGGATTTGTTGAACAAGATTTCAGTGGTGCTCACACTCTATTTTGCATTCAGCACAACCTTGCTTCCCTTTATATTCTTGGTTCTTTCGGTAAAGTGACGTAGAAGGGAAACAATACAATAATACAAATATTAAACAATAAAATTCTCACGACGTTTCGACTGCAACACAAGCAATCATCATCAGGTGTGATTGCTTGTGTTGCAGTCGAAACGTCGTGAGAATTGTATTGTTTTATATTTTTATTATTTTATTGTTTCCCTTCTACGTGGTGACTTTACCGAAAGAACCAAGAATATGAATATCTGCTGCCACGAAAGCTTTAAATCAACATTTGCTGCCCTTTGTCAAGCAAAACATAAACCGACGCCCCGCGGTTCCTCCCCATTGGCTGGTATTGCGGTGACGTCACAACGACGAGTGCGCAACGCAAGCGTGAGCAGGCGCACGCTTGGAGTGGACGGAACGAGGGAAGGAACACGTGGCCCCACGTTCGAGGGACCTTGTTGACCTGCTTGGCACAGCAAGTCGGCGTGGGCAGGACGCATCGCCGGTCGACGAGATGGGAGACGGACGGCGGCCGTGGGAGGGTAACAACATCTGAGAGGACGAACTCCGCTGTGCTGGACCAAATTGGATCGGCTCGCGCGTGTGCGGTAAGTGAGAACGGGATCGTGGCACCTCGGGACGTCGTGAGATTGCTGCGGTTTCTGGTTGCGTCTATTGTCCAGCAGTGGATTAAAAAAAATGGCTGGTGATGGTATAAGTTGAAGGTTTATTTTTGTACTTGTTCGACAGTAATGCATTGAAATATGCACGCTCACAGGTAGTACTTTGTTATGCAATACAGTACTGTAATGTAGTTTGTTTGGTGTTTAAAGTCCAATATATACAACATTTAGTCATACTAATGATATATATGAAAAAAAAAGGTTTTGCTGGCTGGTTGCACTTTCTCTGTGCATGTATATTATTCAGGCCTCGGTTTGTGCGAGCTTTAAGAAAATTCACCAACTTTTAAATGGCAGCAAAACAACACTCTTCCATCGTAATGGGAATCTCACTTGCAAAGTTGTGGAGATGAGAACAAAATAATGGGGGAAATATCGCATCGGAGTTAGCAACGAGGGAGAGAACGCCGGGCAGGAGTTGGCAACCATCCGCTGGTTGAAGGTAATGACGTTTCTTTTTTCTTCCAAAGAGGAGAAGTCTCTAAGTTGGACACGGAGGACCTCAAATGGGGCAATTTAGAAATGAAAACATAAAATGCCAAAGGAGTCACAGCGTGCCGATGGTGGTGGCTCGCTTTTATGGAAACCTACTGACTAACATACCGTACAGGGATACGCAACCGCTGGTGCAAATACTCACTGCCCCGAGTGAGCATTTACTAAAATTATGCAATGTATGATATGTAGCCTTGCCAAAATGTTTTGTATGGCCACGGAAATGTATGTAAGCCGCAGCTGGGATTGCCCCTGACTTAATCGAATATATTCCATTATAACTTTCGCTACCAAGATAACAATAATCAAACACATAGACTTGCTTCGGGGAGTAATTATAATTTATCATTGCTCTAGTGTGCTTGTGCTTATACAATTTACTCCGTTTTTTTATTAATTGCTCTTGTAATTTTTTTGTGCGGAATTTGTTCTGTTATTCTATGAATATTCAGTGCATAAAGTCAGGACAATACGTTCCATACACTTTTTGGCTCTTGATCAATTCTGCATTTCTGTGCTTTGCAGCTCTCTATGCAACCAAATACGTATGTGTTTTATCGTGGTTGCTAAGCACGTGCCCAAAAGCCCACGAAGCCAAGCCCGTCAGCAACATGCAGTGAGTTGTAATACGTTCATGGGACCATTTTGTCTTGGTGCTGTTCGCCTTTTTGACATCCTCTGATCTAACACTGGTGAGATAAGGCCATGAAGGAGGCGGCATGTGATGTAGGCCGATCAGTTTCAAAGACAATGCATAGATTATTAGAGCATGTTTGTTTGCATGTTTGTATCACAAGCATGTTGTGGTAAATGCAGACTTGATGCCTTGAAATAGGCTTTTGAACATTGCCGGAACGGGCAAAACCGTTTATCTTGTTGTCGTTGTAATCATTGCAATACGTTTCTTGAATTGAACTAGGGTATTAAGAACTTGGTAAAATAGACCATGGCAGAGGATCCCGAAGTGGAAGAGAAAAAGCAGATATAAAAGTGTTGTGTGACCTGCATTGTGGTGTTTGAGTATGCTGCTCTCCATCCTTTTCTATGCACAACCCGGCTGTTTTTTATTTATTTAACTCTTTGCAATGTTCACGTCTCAGATCCATGCTATGGCATGCTATGGCATGGATCTGAAACGTGAACATTGTCCTATGGCAGCTTTTTTTTAAATCAAAAGTTAGTCGTAAACAATTTACGATGCCAATCTCATTTCTTTTGAATTATTGCAGATAGTCATGGGTGTTATTGTCGTTTAAGTAATTGTGTTGAAATTATTAGTTTTTTCAAGAATTGTAGATTATGCAAACGAGGCATGAAGATATTGTCTTAAATATGTATTCTAGAACTTTTCAAATGTCTGGCTAAAACATGACAATTTTCAGGTATATGAGGTGAATTAACAATATGTGCATATATAAAACTTGGTCACCAGGGACAAGATCATACAATTCACGGCGAGAGATATTTGCATGGTTCAGTAATTCTCGGCGCAAGTCCAGCATCGCTCTAGTCGTACTGAACACTGCTTTTGAAAATATAAGATAGGTGCCACTTTCCCTCCCCTCCAGTGATAAACAGTCACGCTTTATGCTGGCACTTTTAGTCCTTCCCTGCCATCTGCTGGACATTTTGAGTATTGTAGGTTTCTCCACTGATCCATATTATTTCTTCTCCACGGTTGCTGGCCTGCAAAAATCACACATTTTGGAACATATTTTCTTTTACAAACAGTCCTTTATTCAGTGCCCATGCATAACTTTACACCTGCAAATTTGTTTCTGAAACAAGCTGCACAATTTTCGATTTAAAGCTTTCGTGACTGCAAGGATTCATATTCTTGATTCTTTCGGTGAAGTCACGTAGAAGGGAAATAATAAAGTAATAGAAATAAAACTATAAAATTCTCACCACGTTTCGATTGCAACAATCATCATCAGGTGTGAAAACCACTGCAGGAAAATTTGAAAAAAGTGACCACTTTTTTCAAATTTGATGATAATTGCTTGTATTGCAATCGAAACGTCGTGAGAATTTTATTGTTTTATTTTTATTATTTTATTATTTACCTTCTACGTGACTTTACCGAAGGAACCAAGAATGAGCTGCACATTATTAGCATGCTAGCTTGTTTTAAAGCATTCGTGACTGCAGGGATTCGTATTCTTGGTTCTTTCGGTAAAGTCACATAGAAGGGAAACAATAAAATAATAAAAATATAAAACAATAAAATTCTCACGACGTTTCGACTGCAACACAAGCAATCATCATCAGGTGTGATGATGATTGCTTTTGTTTTATCTTTTTATTATTTTATTGTTTTCCTTCTACGTGACTTTACTGAAAGAACCAAGAATTTGCTAGTTTGTGTTTTATGTTTGGGAAGTATTACCTTATTTATACATTTTGTTAAAAAAATCTCTACATAGGAATTCCCAATCTTGGAACTATTTTGATATATTCATAATAAAGCAATAGTAAAGCAATCCACTATTCTGGCAAATCACCCTATGATGATGGATGTAATTACCCACGAAACGTCGTATTCAAATTGTAAATGTGGATTTGTTCTCCAAAACACCGGTGAGCTGAAGTAGTAACATATAAAATCTTGACTTAAAGCTTTCGTGGCTGCAGGAATTCATATTCTTTGGGTTTTTCGGTAAAGTCATGTAGATAGAACAATAAAATAATACAAATGAAAATAAAGTGAATAACCAGTTTAAGTCATAACTGGCTGTGATGTTTTTATCCTACCTTCCGATGTTAGCAGTTATTTTCGACTCTCTGATTTTATATTAACGGGTTCACACGAACACAGCCGCCGTTTACATTGACATGCTAATCTCTTACATTGACATGCTAATCTCTCTTACTGTAACATCACTAGCCCCGCCTACTTCGTTTACACAGCAGCCGTTTACATTGACATGCTAATCTCTTACATTGACATGCGAATCTCTCTCATTTTACATCACTAGCCCCGCCTACTTCGTTTATGACCCTTGGGCTACACCCATTTCAAACCTTTAAAACAGCCTGCGTCAGCAGCTTTTCCCCCTCTTTTTTCACCTGTTGACGATTGCTTGTGTTGCGATCGAAACGTCGTGATATATTTTTTCTTTTTTTAAATTATTTGTATTCACTTTATTTTTATTCGTATTATTGTATTGTTCTATCTACGTGACTTTACCGAAATACCCAAAGAATAGGAACTAATTGGCGCGTTGTTTACGTGACAAACCTTAATGGCTGCGTCGGGTGGTGGAGGGTTACGACACATCGCATGCGATCTAACCCAAAATTAATATCGTCTTAAACTATTTTGATATCCTGTAACGAGGACAGGGGTGGTCGCACTGGCACTGCGACTCGGGAAACTGCACGTGGCTCGCAGACAGTTCAAGTGAAGTTCGATAAACACGCAGCAATTTTTTTCTCTCCAAACTTTTCACTGTACACCTGATTTGAAAAGGGAACAATCTCTGGAAGCCGGAGGGACTTGGGGCATGGCTTTCAGCAGCAGAGTCGGACACAAGTACTCCGACGGCGCTCAAGGAAGATTTGTAAATTAGAAGCTCCATCGTCAACCAATGCGAGCGAACCAGCCTTGTGACCATTCCGCATCACGTGGTTCTCTTTCAGTCGGTGGTCATTGTGACGGTTTTAGTACGCCACGTGGATGGGATCAGGCGGTTTGCCCAACCATGATTTAGAATTATGCCCATTTAATTCTAGTCAGCCAACTCTAGGCTTGCCTGTTTTTTTGACAGATACATTTTTGTACCTGAAGTATGTGATTCCATTTCAAAGCATTGCCATTGTATGTGCTGTACATCATATCAATGGAAAATGGTGGATACAAGTATAGCTTACATATACATCTCCATATATTAAAGGCAAATTTGTGAATGTGTGTCCGTTCAAAATGTTTAGCGTACTTCCCAGCATGCAACAAACTGGAAATTTGCCATGTGGGTACTTTTTTTCCAGACTGTACACCATGCAAAAATTATAAAAATACACTTTTTTTGTGGGGGGGGCGGGGGAAAGAGCTAAATAATGCAAATCTTCCAGGGGCTATGGGGATCCCCCCCCCCCCCCCCAGAAAAAAAGTCTAAATTTGAAAACTAATTTCCTGCCTAAAATATTTTAAAATTCACCAACACATATGATGGACTTTTTTTTTTTACAATAATGTCTAATAGAGTATTGTATTACATTGCTCTGTTTTTTCTTTTTTTACCTTTTCTTGTTTCATTGTATGTAATGACAGAGATTAGAGATTAATAAAGTACAACCATAACCACAATCATATAAACAGAAATATATTTTATAGCAATATATTGGGGGGGGGGACATTTTGAGCATAATATATATTATAATTACGGCCTTGAGTTCAAGCTGGGCTACTGCAATCCGGTTTGTCCACTAGGCGGAGACACGTGCCGAAAATCGAAGGTGCATTGACCCTGTGAATTTTTATTTCATCATCATGATCGTCTTCAGCCATGATGTATCCCATTACCCACCAATCCATCTACCAAGACCTCAACAATGTACCTCGTCGCAGACGCAAGTCCTGATCCCCCTTCTGGGATCGCACTCTCAGCCAGATCCGGAAGAATGATGGCAAACAGAGTGGAACAAACGCGGACGTTCAGAATAAAAAAAACACAATTGGAGACCCAACATCACACCTCCTAGCTGTGGCATTCCTCGAAGACACTGGTGGAACCATTAACCGCACAAGAGCCAAGAAATATCAACAGGTCCATACACACATGTCCTTCGTGAAGAGAAAACCCACAGCCGTGCGATCGTGGTCATGCAGCCCAAACTGGACCAGAGAGTAAACCACAGCAGTCTGCGCTCCTTCAACGGAGGAGTCGCATGAACTAGACGAACACTCTCTCGAAGCCCTCTCGTGGCTAGCAGACGTCGACAAAGACATTTACCTCCTGAACATATCGCCATGCACAAGGATAGCAAGAATAGCATCTATCCATGGCTGGATGAAAGCCCCCCCCCAAAGCCATCACACTCTCTCACGGTCTCGCAATGCAAAATTCCACGGATGTATTTTCTCGTACCTTAATGTAATCATATCCTCATGAATCTAACAAAATCCCGTAATTCGAAGCAAATGGCTAAAATGGCACCAATGGAAATGAGTTTCCCCTGCTCTCTTGATCCAGAAGGGAAATGCTCCGACTTTCGTATGGCGAATAAGCGCAGGCGTTTAAAAATAGGAAAATGTAATGCAGTACTCGTCTTAAATCTATTGGTAAAAACAGCACGCAGGATAACGTTTGTGCAACTTGATGTCAGATGACTCAGCGGCAGAGTGAGTGACTCAAAAGCGGAAGGTGACGAGTCCAAATCCTAGGTGGGATTGATTCAGCACGTCGCCTCAACGGGATGAAGAAAATGAGTGACTGCAAGTCGAAAGTGTTTTTTTAAAATAAATTTATGGACTTGGTCGTAGGAATGTGCTCATTTGAGCATAAAATCACTTTGATTTTCTATGCCAAAACATATGAACGCATTCAATTAGCAGGTCATAGCAGACACCACTTAGTTAATAATTTATAGCGTCAGCCTTGCTAGCTTGCTCTTGTCTCACGAATGTCACATCTAAGGACATTTAAGGTCACAGAGTAAGTGCGTTGAAAGACAAGAATATGAATTTAGGTGGACACACACAAGTAAATGGGTAGTCAATACGGTGTTGATATATATGTATAAAAGATTCTGTATTGTGCTCTTCAAGAAGAAGAAGACAATCATAGTGCCCAAACTCCTGGGCACAACCATTCCTAGCTACGAAGCCTAAGTAGTATTTTGTACCCACTGGCAACACAGAGACGGATTATAAAGAAAGCAGGAAATGAATCCTGCCGTGTATATACAAAATTAACAATAATAATAATTATTATTATAATTTACAGCCCTCTGTCAATTCATTACACTTATTGAAGGTTTTCCTTGCCATGTTGATTATAGGGGTTGGTTGGTTGACCATACTTCAGCACCACTGGCTCAGATATCACTCGCCAGTAATGTTAGCCGTTCACTGGGGTCGCTGGGTTATAGAGCAGTGCGCTAACCATTGTTGCCACCTATTTATACACGTGCAGTAGTTACGTACACACGTAACTTCTCTAGGTAGTAATTGGCTAACGGCACACAGGTATTAAATGTGTGTGTTTAAGAGCCATGCATTCCTAGCCAAGTGGTGTGCTATGTTGAGTATCATGTTGTGCACAACGTGTATATATTTTCTTAGCAATGTAAATAAATAAACAATTGTGACCTCCATTTGTAGTCATCGCATTCCCGAGTGAAATGAGGCCCACCCTCTTACAGGCGGGCCGGGCTTAATGCATGGCGACTTCCCAGCGTGACTTGTTTATGTCTGGAGCCATAAACGAGGTCACATCATTAACCCCGGCATGTCCTAGACAGGCATTGCCACCACGCATTCCAGCGCGTGCCAGTGCGTGCATTATCGCAATGCCCCGGCATATCAAATGAGAAAAGAGTGGACCGTCGCTTGTTAATGCCACCGCGGTTAAGTGTTGCCCTTCGGCTGTTGTCCGGCAAATGTGATACGCCGAGGTTCGGTGAGGTTATTCGCACTCTTTGATGCGCCGTCCTCGTACAGGAGAGTTACCCACGTTGCTGTGAATGTAACTTCACTTCAACCTTAAGTATCATCTCTCTGTCTCTCTATCTCTCATACGCACGAGTTCGTGGTGTCAAGGGATGGACGCAGCGGTTGGCGGGCAACTGCGCTTTTAACTCGGCCACACCGAGTTCGATATCCCAGGCAGGGCTTGAAGGCGGTGGGCGGGGGGGTGTCGA